TTTGCCGACCAAAGGTCCGATACTTTTTGAACAGACCTTGTATTTTTTGTTTTTCCGTCTGGATCGTACACGAATAAATCAGATGATTTTCCGACGCGTGAGCTGGCCACATACCCTATGTACAGTTGTACTGTACATGCGAAAAGCACGGATTCTTTAAATTTAGCCCACATACTCGCAGAGATTGTTAGAAGTGCGATATTCCCCATTTTTATATATATTTTTAAATCCTTTATAATTTTGATTATTTAATTTCTCCTTCCTCTCTTCCTTGGCATGTTGTGAAATTTTTGATAGTTGGATAATAAACCGTTTTATTGTAATTTGCCTTTTTATTATTAAAATTTGGGAAAGGGGATCCTAGATCGGTAAAATAGGCGAATTTCCTCCTACAACTTCGGTTGTTGTTCGGGATGCGGTTAAGGTTTTAACAAAGTTCGAGCGAATACATAATTAGCAGAAAATAGTTGAAATAAAGTGATTAAACAAAAATTATTACAAATATCGTAAATAACAAATGCATATATAGAGATATTTTTGAAGGGGGGAAATGGTCTTCACAATTTGAAATCGATCGAACACACAGTGCTCGAATGCTCGTGTAAACGCGCGCCATCTATCGTAGGATAAATGCCAGAAACATTCGCGGGAGTGTATTAAAAAACTTCCCAAAGCTTCATGGCAAACGTACTACGCCAGAAACCTTCGCGGGAGTATATTAAACAACTTCCCAAAGTTTCACGGCAATCGGATAAACGGTGTGGTAATGCATGAAGGACGAACAGACACACACACACACACACACATATATTCATTTTTATATATATAGATTAGTGCTGAAAACTGCTCGCCCAAGGCTAAATACATCGATAAACATGTCTCGCGTTTCTCGATGCCACCTATCTAGTAAATCCTAAAATATATTACATTGACATCATCTTTTGATTTTTTGTCATCGACATCGTTTCGTATAAACTTACAGCGCCATCTATAAAATGCATAAATACCTCTTTGAGATTTGTTTTGATACAGTTTAGATCGAGATCATGTGGTATTTAGTTCTAGGTGTTTTTATCTTATTTTTTATCCTTGTGAATTTATTATTCGATGTTTATATGAGAAGTAGTACAGATATTTCTTCCTTTCATGTATTGGTTTGTATCAAAGATTTATTAATTATTAAAACAAATCATTTTTTATTAGTTGAATTATGAATTTAAAGTTCTTTGATGTAAATTGACTTAAAGTATTCATTAAACGTTGAAATATGTACTTTGAATCATTAAATATTATCATTATTTTCTTTTTTATTATTTTCTAATTTATTAGAGTAAGTATAAAATGTAAAGACAAATTGAAGATAGAAAATTTCAGCATTAAATTATATTATACATGCACTACATTCTACATTGTAAGTTTCGAAGAATAAACAATGATTGATTAGTTAATGCACCGGTACATTAAGACTATGGATGAAGCTGGCTATGGAGAATCTATAATGGGTGGATCTGTAGAACAAAACCACAATTACACGTGTTACCGGCAAATTTGATTTACGGTTATATCCAATAGTTTGAATGAAGTATGGGGATGAGTAATATATGATTATTTTGATTCGGGGGTCATTGAGAAAGGGGGAGCTGGGAATTTTTCACTGGAAACACTTAACACTTAGAGACTTGTAGTGATTCCTATGCCTATAAACTAATGTTATTTCTACTAACAAAAAATTAGACTTTTTAAAACTACTTTTTATTAATAAAGAAACATTCTACACTTTTCATTTGACAAAAAAATATAAAAGAATAAAATAAAATGTTTAAAGGGGCCTACTCTAGACCCCATACAAGCTGTTGACAACCTTGCCTCGATTCATGTTGCTAATGATAAATTTTTAAGAGTTTAGGTTGGGTTTACGTTTTGATATCTTCCAGCAGTAGACCAATATTTGACAGTTTCTGATTGGCTGGTCTACAGATTTCTTTATTGAAAATATATTTTTATCTTTCTTTTCTGAGATATAGGTTGCAAATTATCTGATTTTATAATGACAAGATCAGATACACAAATACATGCTTCATTAAAACATTTTTGTGATGTTTATGATAATATATGTATATAAAGAATAGTTCGTTAAAATATGAAGAAAAGATCTTTCAGAATGTAAATGTAAAATTTACTTCATTGTGGTATATTTATCATTGCAACCATGGTTCAGAAAAGCAGCTCTGTTATTTGTAATGAGAATATTAGGATAGTATCTTGATATCCGTTCACTAGAAGGAATACATATAAATTTACAAAATAAATTTTTGTACTTAAATTTTACAAAATTGATTCACTATTTTACTTATATTTTGCTCTTGAAAGATAAAATTTTCTTAAATATTTCAAAAAAATAGAAATTCTAAATTTCATTCATGGACATGCCAAACTTTATATTATTTAAATAAGAAGTGATGTTTTAAATTGTTTCTTATTTTTTTTTATTATAATTTATACATAAACTTCAGTAGCTTTATTATGATAGAGAAGGCTCACATAGACAAATATCTGTTTTTAAATTTATAATTATTTGAATAAAGAAAAAATTGATTTTTTTCATTTTTAATTATAAATGAGAAGTATTAAACAATTATTAAATTGTATGATGCAGGTAACAGGTGGATCAAGTGGCATTGGTAAATCATTAGCAATAGAAGCAATATCTAGAGGGGCAAATGTTACTTTAATAGCACGAAATAAGGTAAATTTTAAATTAACCATTAAATAAATTTAATATTATCATAATTTAATTGATTTAAATTTTAATTAATTGCATTATTTATCTTTTTTAATTATTAAGGCTCGATTAGAAGAAGCTAAAGAAGAAGTTGAAAGCTATGCAGTAGATAAACAGAAACAAGTAAGGAAAATATATTGAAAATGTAATATTTAAATGGTATATTTCAAATAAATAAATTTTGTTTTTTCAGAAAGTGAAAATATTTTCTATTGATATAAGTAAGTATTACGAAAATGTTGAAGTTGTTTTTCAAAAGGTAAGTTAGTCAATTATTTTAAATTATAAAATAAATAAATTTATTTTATTTAAATTTGAGTAAATAGTGATATGTTTCTTATCAAATTAATAAAATATTAAAAAAAAAAATTTAATTAATTTTGTTTAATTGATGCTTCTGAAGGATTGATCCTTCAGAAGCATCAATTAACTCTCTATGGCTGGCTTAGTTACAGAAAACATTAAAAAGATAGAATTTATTGTATGGCACTAGTGAGATAACATCAGTTTCTTAATTGTGATATCTTTTCGGTTATTTTGGCCTTTTAATATAACTTTTATGTATTTTTATCTTGTAAGTTTTATTGAAATACCAACTGAAGGGGGACTATCCAAAATGCATTTTGAATGTATTGTATACATATTAGTTTTAATTATTGTTAAACCTCTTTATTTTGTAGATTTAAATATTAGCTGGGCATGTAGCCAATACCACAGCTTCTGCAGATTTAACACAGAATGAGATCTACATCTCATAACATGAGATGTAGTGGTCATAATATAATACCCAAGATTTAAATATATAATAAATTTAAGAAATTTTATGATCATATTCACTTGTATGATAAGCCCTAGCATAAATAATTGATTTTAAGTTATAAGAAATGTTTATCCAGTTTTTTCATTTAATGTGTAGATCAGGGGTGGCCAAAACGTGGCGCATGCGCCAAATATGGCGCATTGGACGATTACAAGTGGCGCTTCAGCTAGTTCTGAGCAAAATTGCCAGATTTGGCTTTTTTGCGATTAAGAATATTATATAGAAAAATACATTTTTTATAGTCTGTCTTGGCAAGTTCATTTGTTGCACAATTCGTTACGGTCTATTTTGCAGATAAAATGAGTATTCTCCACATAGTAAATTACAATGTATGCATGTATTTTGAGTCTTGCGATCTTTATTTCCGATCAGTTTACAGGCGTGTAAATGGCCGAAAACATTTATTGTGATTAAAGTTATTCCAAGCTGATCTCGTTCTCAGTGCCAATAATTGTGGTGCAGAGTAATTTTCACCAAACGAGACTCTGGCAGCAATAGCACCATCATGAAGCAATCACCCTCTCCTACAGGAGATCATTGTTAACTATTGTAAATTGGTGCTTCAATAAACTGTCATAAATTAATTAATTCAACTGCGTGATTAAGTAATTCCCTTTTCTCCCCTAAGCGAAGCAGATTTATTCTTATCTCTATTTATCAACCCCTAACATTGAACGTAAGACTGTATAAAAAGTGTTTGAGTTATATGACGCATCTGAACTCGTCTGTCAAAAAATTGGCGCATGATATGCAAAAGGTTGGCCACCCCTGGTGTAGATAGTCTTAAATAAAAAAGTTAAAGTTGTTTTCTTATTAATTGCTTTCTATTATTTATGTTCAAAAACTTTAATTTTATATACAAACAAAGAATTATGACAAAATAAGTTAAATATATTATTTTTAATCAGGTTAATTATTTTTGAATTTAGCATTCTGGCCTCAGTCTCACCTCAAAGAAAATTCAGTTACCATCAAACATTAACTGATTAGAAAGATTTCCAATCTAGCTTCTAAAAAGTGTTAAGTGTTTGGCTAAATATAATAGTATTATGTCATTATTACTAATTCTTAAATTTTCTGAATAAAATTCTCTTAGTAATTATAAGTTACTTTTTATTAACCTTTTGTTAATAAAATAAAAAGATATTTAGTAAAAATTACATTGCAATGGAATTAAACATCATAAAATATATTATATTATTTTTGCTTGTTCTCATTGCTAAACAGATTGTGAGAAGTGAAAAATTACATAATGATTAATAAGAACTTTTATTTTGTAATTATTTATTATTTATTTTTATAGCATTTTCAAGAAATTTATCAGTAATCATTTACTTAATAAAATTTACTTAATCATTATAACATTATTAATGTAAGTAAACAGCAATGCATGAGAAAATAAATAAATAAGGTTAATAATTAACGACAGTTTGAAGACATAGATTCAAAAGTACAATGCCATATGTTTTTAAGTTTAGATCTCCCTTATGACAGCTAATTTTATACATTACATCAACTCAATGCTATTATCATAGAGTTTATTTTAGTTGAAGATGAATAATTATTCATTAAAACAAGTTAGTCACATTTTTACATGTTATCATATATATGATTTAGTATGCATAACATTTGATCTATAGGTTCATTATGATTCAGCTATTTGATGAATTGTTTTTCACATTGAAACAAATGATAAATAATTTTATAATTAAAAGATTTTATTACAAAACTTTAAAATTTAAACTGTAACATTATAGTTGTTATATTTAGTCTGTTAAATATTAAATAATTAATGATATCAAGTTACAGAGTTTTAAAAAGCCTAAGTTCAAAGTTACCCAAAAAATCATTTAATTAAATTATTCTATAATACAAGTAGCCCTCACTTTATGCCACAGTTTCATTCCTACAAAAGTCGGCGCAAATCAAATCGGCGTAAAATGAACCCATATTTACCGTGAGATATAGGGTTAGCAGTGGCGTGCCGTGACATTTGATTATAGGGAAGCTGTGTTTTTGTAAGAAGCCAACTTCCAGGGGCAATCAGTTAATTCTCTAAATGTATTTTTAATAGATTATTTATCTGACATACTTAATAAATAAACAAGTTCAATATAATTACTTCTGCTATTTGATTCAATAGATTCCCTCCCTATGCCCTCTAAATGCCAATTCTTGCTTTGATAAAAACATATAACATCTATTAATTTAGATAAAATATATCTATTAGCTGTAATCACCTTGTTATAATTTTCAATATTTATTTCATATTATTTACTAATGTTAAATTCTATTCTGCTTTGATTTCCAAATTGCTTCAAATACGAAAGAATCGATGATTTTTCGTGTCTTTTGCCAGCCAAATTGTCAAAGCCATTCTTATTCAAACACACTAATTTCATTTGAAAATAGTAGGCAAGCCAACAAAACAATTTTTGCATTTTTATGCATTTACAGAGCCATTTTATCATGAAAATGTCTAACAAATTTTTTTATTGCACTGTTTATATTTAACTTAGGCATTGGCCTTTCTCTTTTAATAATGCTTTCTTTTTCATTATATGATTTTGAGCCAAAACTTTTTTAAAATAAATTTTCAATATTGCAATTACATTCTGAATCGCTAGCCACGATATAAGGGCTAAAATTAAAAATAAAATTATAAAAACTTGATGAAATAAAATGTGTGGTGGATATACATACCTGATACAAAATATTCTTCATTTGTATGAATATACTTTTAAAGAAAATTGTAATTAAATATAGCTTTGTAAAGAAACGTACATAAAAATAACATAAAATATTGTTTACTCTTTTAATTATAACCACTTAGTCAAACAGCTATCTACAAGTGGATCTTGGTAGGTGTGCAGTGCCTGCATGCATGCCAAATCCCGAGAGAGCCGATACCGGTCAATGTCAAATGCCTCTTTTTCCACATCATTAGTATATCTCAAAGGACGTGACAGGGTTGTTGTAAATTTTAAACGTTTCTCACCATAGCTGTAAAAGTCTAAATTTGTTAAACTTAATAGATTGTCTGTCATTTGTTTTCTAACTAATTCGTTTTAGGACCAGGTGTTGTCCATGGAAATTTCCAAAATTTACAACTTTTTGGTCACTCTCGTTGAACTGGAAAAATTTCTGTCTTTATTACATCTAATATTTCAAAGAAATCAGTCTCCACTGTACTCGGGTACAGATTGGTAAGATTAAGCTTTTGTTTAAATAAAATTTCCGCTTCTTCATCAGGGGTTTGTTTAGGTCCCCAATTCTCTAATCACTTAATTATTTAACTACTTCTTAAGTAGAAATAAGTCGAAACCAGTTACTTTGTACTTGAATATTTGTAGTTTCGGAAAAAAAGTGGAAAGAAATTTTTATGACAAACAGATACATAAATCGTAAATTTAAGGAAAATAAATTCTAGAACTTTTTCTGTACCTCATGCATCTCTCTCATTTATTAAATTTAGTTGCAAATGATGCATTTTTTTTTTTTTTTAACTCTTTCCGCCCTGCGGGCACTAACAGGGCCTCTTTTGCAAGCCCATTATGGGTTTGACCGGGCCCACAATGGGGCTGCTGGGAGGTGAGGGATGGGGCCCAACATATCTGAATGGACCAACCCCCCCGAAAAATTCCTAGGGAATTTTCGACTCGTTCGGATTTGAATCTGGGTCCCCCAGAGCAGTGGGCTGCCATCTTGGCCGCTCGGCCATCCAGCCGCCTGTAAATTATGTTGTCGAAGTAACAGTTAATTTTTTAACATTGTACAAGAATTGTACATGTTTTTTTCTACATCCCCTTAGAGATGGAATATACAAAATCGTAATATCACTGGTTTAACATTGAAATCCGTGAGTAATATAAAATCGGAGAGCGGAATGAATATATCAAATATTTTAATGGATTTTTTTAAACTCCTGTCAACTATACAGAACTATCATAAAAACATACCAGTAAATTCTTATTGGTTGGGTTAAGTTATAAATCTACTCGTGATTCACATAATCAGGCGAGGGTGGCCAAATATCTAGTGGGTAGGCAGCTAACAGCCCAGAACTGGTCCTGGATAGAATTGGATGCGGTATACGTGTAGCATCCACTCGAGGTCTTAGGCTTCCTCCTGAGGTTCCACCAACCTCACCAGCTAAACCGGGTGAGGTTGGTGCTCTGTAAAGCGCATGTGCGAATCTGGCTTTTTGGATGCTGACGATACAGCGCTTCCACTCCGCCACTAATATTCGAATATACAATAGCAATCTTATCTTTTTTTCCACATGTAGTATAAAAATTTGTAATAAGATACATAATGCGGTTATAATAAAATATTGTGCAATTATTTTCATATAACTAAAATTAATATGTGTTTATATTTTAGAAAATACGAGGGAAGCGACGCATCCACCGCTTCCAATGACGGCATGCCACTGAGGGTTAGGCTTTACATAAGTGAAAAATAAGCAACTAATTTTGTTTATTAATACAATATAATACAAAATACATATGTGACAATGCTGAAGGGCATTGTCACATATGTATTTTGTATTATATATATCTTGTATCTTGTATTTTGTATTTTATGTATCTTGTATTTTGTATTATATGTATATGTATCCCCATACTTCGGCACCACGGGACTGAAGGGTCGACATCGCGTCATCGAAGATCGCAATGACAAGTTTCGTCAGGACTGACACCACTGTGTCTTTACGGACAGACACAGAAACCATTATGCTCTCACGTGAATGATCGTGTGTGTGAGTGAACGAATTCGGGATGGAGGGAGAGACAATGCACCGGAAGTGACTTACGCAGAGACGAGTTAATATAACAACCATTTAATTGATAACAGTAGATAATATAGGACATATGATAGATCGAGTGGAATATGATAGATTTAGGTATATGAGAAATGATAGCTATTATGTAGATATTAGAGTGAGGTAACTCAAGACCTGTGTTTTCCGAGAGAGAGAGTTTACAGCAAAAACGTGTGATGATAAATATCTTATTGAGGATCTAGTCTTGATCTCGAACGTTCTTTGTGAAAGAGAGGAAGTTTAGGATGTCAGTACAGATATCCTGTAGATGAAATATCCGTAAGCCTGATGGAACTTTTGCGGAAGCCTGAGTATCCGCAAAGGTGTTAGACAATGGTTTCCGATGATATTTTAGTAGGATATAAGAATGTAAAATAAAATGATATATTCACAGATATCCGAATATTGAGGCATTTAGGACAAGGTATGGGTGACAACTGACTCTTTGGAAGGACAGGCGACGACTGTTTTAGTTTCTTGAGTTTTTTCATTGTTGAACCAATGAAATCGAGATATTAGGTCAAGAGGTGATGAGAAAGCATCGTTGTCATGCCTGAGAACTTAACAGATGTTTTGCTCCCAGGTGCAAAAGTAGACAGTTATGTATCAAGTTTATAGTGACGATGTGACATTAGGAGATAATGATGTAAACATACTGAAAGTCTGGATTTGGATCCTCACACATATAAATTTAATTTTTAAAATGTATTTTATGATAAAATAAAGTGAAATGTTTTTATTAAAAAAAATTTAAAAAAAAACAAATGATATTTCAAGATACTTTTTTCTGAAAAATATATTTTTAATTGTTTTGATTTTTGTTTTCTTTCATTAAGAATTTTGGAATATGGCCGAATGGATGTGATGATGCTCCTTTTTACAATTACACTTCGCTCCCAATCATTGTTTAACTCACAAAGTTCATCCGTCAAACTTTCCATAGTTGAAAAGATATGCTTTAGACTGGCCATTTTCATAACTCTTAGAGTTTCTTCTTCGTTTTCTTCCTTCTCTGACTGTTTACAATCTAATTTGTTGTATAATTTTTCTAAGTCTTTATTCGAGAGTGGCTGATCGTGGGCTTCTGTAAGTTCTGTAATCTTCCAATCCCACATCATGTGCAAGTCTGGTAATGTCTTCAATTAAATTCTCCTGATGTACTACTTCTTCAACATCATGCATGAATGCTGGCAGAAGTTTACCCCAAACTTCATTTAAGCATTTTGCTGAAACTTCATCCCAAGCTGACTTGATGTTTTTTATGCCTTTCAAAATATCGAAAGACCACCAATAGTCTTTAACTGTTTTGTCTGAAGTCTCTAAAGCTTTCATTATTTCCATAAATGTATTACAGAGATAGATACAGCTATGAAGATTGCAATAACCCCCCTGATCCATTGGTTGCAAAAGAGATGTTGTATTGGGAAGTATGTAAACAACCTTGACATCCAATGGTGTTCTTATTTCATCAAGGTTTTTAGGATGTACTGGAGCATTGTCCAAGAGAAGAGGTGCTTTGGATGGTAATTGATTTTCTTCACAAAAGCAAAGCACAGTAGGTCAAAAATAACTTGTGTACCAATCTGTGAAAACATCTTGTGTGACTCGAGCTTTCTTGTTCATTTCTAATAAATTGGCAACATGTCTTTATTTAGACCCTTTAAAGCACATGGTGTCTGTGAATGATACACTAACATTGGTTTAAGTTTCAAAGTTCCTGAAACATTGGCTCCCAACAAATGAGTTAATCTATCTTTCGCAACTTTAAAACCTGGAGTAGAACATTCTTCACGAGAAATAAAAGTTTGTGCTGGTAACTTTTCCAATAAAGCCCAGTCTCATCAACGTTAAAGATTAGGTCTGGAGAATAGTTGCCTTGTTCTACATAACCCTGAAATTCCTTAGGAAAAACAACTGCCACCACAACATCTGCACTCATTGCTTCACTACAACAGTTACTTCAGGATTTAAATCTTGTAAACCAACCCTTGCTTCCCAAAAAATTTTCTTCACCTCCATCTGTCTCCTTAAGATTATCAAAAATTGATTTTGCTTTTTCAGTTATAGCAGCTTGAGTCAAGGGAATGTTTTTTTTTTTTTTGTTTTTTTTCTATCATCCACCCATAATGATAACAATTTTCCATTTTTTCAAAAATTTTACCTCTACCATAACTCACATGTTTTACATTTACTGTCATAGACTGTTGAGCAGAGTGTTTAATTTTATCTGAATGTTTCATAATGGTAGTAACAGTCAATTGATGTAAGTTCAAAGATCTACAGACATTAGGGCGTGTTTGTCCATTTTCCATTTGTCGAATAACTTCCATTTTTGTTTCTAGGGAGATAGATTGCGGTGCCTTCATAACATGTTTAGATAACTCTGGTGCACTTCTTTTATCTGACCCTCCTTTATTCTTGTATACGTGGGTACTTAAACATTTAGTATTTTAATATTTTTATTTATTTTAATATTAATTTAATGTAAATGTATAATATTAAACAGAAAAAATAAATATATTTAATAAAAATCTTTGTTTTAATGAATATACAACATTGTGGCACAGTAAATATGTCAACACTGAAACAAAATCATTCTAGCATAGGGAGAATTGGGGAATTACATGGCAAAATGGTGAATTGCGCAATGGCGTTACTGTGAATCGGTGTAAATTGAGCCGGCATAAACCAAGAGCTATCTGTATTGTAACTCTATGAAAATAAAACATACAATCTTACTTCACCATCTGACGCTTACTGAGAAAACATTTTTTATTGACAAACATTTTCAACCAATTCTCATAGATCATCTTCACGTTTTTGAATCTGGTAATAAATCATTACAAAAATGGAATATTCAGATAATAAAATTTACATTTAAACTTGTAAATTTGAGATTATAAACTAAGATTGAAATTTCTGCTGAGTGCACTGTTTATGTAATAAAATATACATTTTCAACTAGTTTCTGAATAAATACATTATTATACCTAACATTACAGATTAATTTCACCAAATATTTTCTTTTATAACTTTAAACTTTATTCACTAGAGAAAGAAAGAACACTATTGCTAAGAGAATGAAGTAACTGGGATGACATATGTGTTTACATTAGTATACGTAATCTTGTCATTGATTCTTCCATTCTTTAATGTTTTGATGCAGTCTCAAAACTTTTCAGTGAAGGTTACAGCAATATTTTTTTATTGTTTATTTTTATAAACACATTCTGTATTGTGTAGGCTATGATTAAGTTGGTCTGTTATCAGTTCTAGAAATACTCATATATTATACACATATATAATTAAAATAGATTGAGATTTTAATTTTTAATTTAAAATTAAATAAGAATTAAATTTTATGTATTTTATAGGCTGAAGAACAGTTGGGACCCATTGATATTCTTTTCAATTGTGCAGGAACAGCATTTGCTCAAAAATTTGAAGACATATGTATTGAAGATTTTAAAGTAATTTTATAAATTAAATATAATTTTTTATGGTTATATTTATTCAATAAGTAAAATACTTAGAAATGTTTTAAGAATAAAATTTGTCCTTTTTGCAAAATACAGTATATACTGTATCAGTTAATATTTTTTTGATAACGAACAGAATATAATACAATATGTTAAATAGTTAAATGTTAAAATATGCCAAATTTTAAATAGCAGGAAGGAAAACTCAGTGAGTATGGCATTATTAATTGCACCATACTCAGTGAGTTTTCCTTTCTGCTAAAGAACAAAATAAATAAATAAATAATAAATAAATAGAAATAAATAAATACAGTTATAGCTAAATATAGCCATAACTGTATTTATTTATTTCTAATAAATAGTTTAAGAAGCCCTGCTCTACATAATATATACAGTTAATATATACACTAAGGAAAGAATCAACTTGAGAATGTCACATGATGTTGCTTCAGTTAAATCAGTTGGCACATTTCCTAATAATGTCAACACTTTTTGCTTAACGTATCAGGCAATATGTGAATTTTATTTTATTTTCTCTCAGTAGATGCCAGAATGACTTTTCCATTAATTGTGTTAATTTTTTATATCATATATTAACTGTACAGAATCTTGCCTTTAACAACTACTATAGCAAACTTCCTCATATTCAGTACCAGAATGAGACGTTTCCATAACACTGCTTATAATGGCAGTAATATGTTTAACAAATAAGGAAGAACTCAGAAGTAGTTTGCCACAACTAGCAGCAATCAATGCTGATGCTCATTGGTTAATACTCAAGTTGATTTTTTCCATAGACAGACTGTAGAACCTGTTTTAATCATAGTATCAAATAGTCAGGATAATTTCAGTAAACTTTTATTCTTGATAGCGTATGATAGATGTAAATTATATTGGGAGTGTTCAAGCAACAAAAGCTGTGTTACCCTGCATGAAAAAACGCAGAAAAGGAATAATTGTATTTGTATCTTCTATTGCTGGTTTATTTGGCATATATGGCTTTTCAGCTTATTCTGCTTCCAAATTTGCTTTAAAAGGACTGGCCGAATGTCTTCAAATGGAGGTATGCATTATTATTATTNGATGAAGTTTTGTTATGAATAATACACATTTTAATACACATTTAAAGTAATTTTGATATAGAGAGAGAAAATTGATATCTAATCAGATTGATAAAAATTTGAATTTGTTAACACATATTCATTCAAATATAGAACAATTGTAAACATTTCAGAGAATTGATAACTTGATGATGGCCTGCTGATCAGGTTGAAAATGTTGGTATAAAACAGTATAAGTAGGTTCTCAGCAATATAAGATGTATGTGTTATAATATTTAATGATTCTGAGTATATGTTGAAGTACTAACCAATAGTCATTCAAACTAGGAAATATAAAAGATAAAGATATAAAGATAAAAACCAATTTCAGAAAATTTTTGAAAAACTTAAAGGGCAGTGCTATTGTAAGAATGTAATAAAAGAATTAATACAGGATTAACTAATAATTAAGAAGTTGTGGTGACTTGCACATCTGATCCTTAGTTTGTTCTAAATATGCTCTTCCTAAATATTGATTCAAACAACTGTACAAGGCACAGATGTTTATCTGTGCCTTGTAGAGTTGTTTGAGTTTGAATCAATAGTAAGGGAGTGAGAGTGATGAGCTAAAGGATCAAGTTAGTGAGTTCAAACTGAGAACAAGTATGTAACCTTGCTAGTTAATTAAGTTTTTTGTATATTGAGTATATTGTTTGACTCCTTGACTCAATTGATGCATTTCTCCTTCTAAAATTGTTAACTTAAACACCACAAAATGTTTCAAAAACATGCTTAACTAATGCTGTTAAAAATAGGACTGCTGAAGTTGCAAAAAAAAAACTGTGTATATATATGTGATTATCTTATACAGGAAATTTTATAGTAGGCTGATTTTTTTTAAGGTGTCAAGATTCAAGATAGATAGGTGGACAACATATAGCTTTTTCAATGTTTTTCTTGTAGAAGTTGATTGGTATCACAAAAAAAGTGGTCAATTTTATTATTACAATTAATTTCTTGCTCTCTTATTATTAATTAAATTTTTAATATTACTGTATTATATTTAAAGATCTTATCACATATTGAACTATTTTAGCATTTATTATATTAATCTATGATTATAAAGTGATGTACCTTCTTTTGACCATTCTAAACTGCATTTTGGGTAAAAATTTATGGCTCTCTTCAGTTAAAATTTTCGGTCTAAAGCTTTTTAAAAAAAATGTATAACAAGACTCATACTACATGACACCCACATGTTTAAAATTTAATTAAACAACATAACATAACCAAAGTTAAACATATAATGCAAATAGATAATTAGCTGTCAATTGCTATCATACCTTTAACATTTCTGTTCAATACTTCACTACTTACATACATGTTTCATTTTTTGTGTGTATAATTGATACATCACATAATAATATAACATTGACATTTCTTTACATAGTTAGTGAATATTTATTCACAAGCTCATTGATTTCATAATTAAAATACTGTAATACAAAATAAAATCTTTCTATACATATATCTTTTTTGTTCTTTACTTTTTCCGTGTGTGGATTATTTTACATATATCAATAAACTTTAGGGTATTTTTTTCCTCCCTAAAAACTAATAGAATTATTATTTAGATATGTAAAATTATATTTAATAAGTATTTTTAAAACAAATTTACCTCATTTATTATCTAATGATTCTACTTTATTGCAGTATATTTCTAACCATGCATGATCTTTTAATTTTAGGAACAAAAACTATTACTATTGATATAGGTTAAGATTCCATCAATAGTAATAGTAATGTGAATGAAGTGTTGAACAGAAATGTTAAATGTATGGTGACTGTCAACAGCTAATTGTTTATTTGAATTATATATTTAACTTTGGTTATGTTATGTTGTATAATTATATTTTAAACTTGTGGATGAGTATTGTTGTATGAGTCTATTTATACAGCTCTTTTTTAAAAAACTTTTAGGCCAAAATATTCTAACTGTAGAGGGCTGTAAATTTTTAGCCAAAATGCATTTTAGAATGATCTAGAGGATGTATATAATTTTATAATTGTAGATTGAACTAATTTAGCATATATTATATTAATGTGTGATAAGTTCTTTAAATATAATATAATAGTATTAAAAAAAAATTTAATTAACTATATTTAATTTTCAGTCAATATACATGGATTAGTGATATAAATTCTGCAAATACTACAGAGTTTATTACTTTCCTGATTTAAAAAAATTAAATGAAAGATTATTTAGTTTAACATACATTTATCTCTTAGCATTTTAATTTTTCCTAGATAATTTTATATAATTAAATAACTAAATTATTTAATATAATACCATAAAAATGCAATAATTTTTAAGAAAAAATATATAGTAAAGATTATTGTACGACATGAACCTGTATCACTAAGGGCTCTTATCTTTCCTATCATTGACACTTCAACATTAATATATGGGCTATGAACTTTAAACATCAAAGCTAACACTTCTAAAGCATTGCTCTTTTGTTTTTGTTTCTTGCTGTCTTTAATCTCTTTTGAGCTTCCTCTTTCAGCATTGTATTCATTGGCCTGTGCAATATTTTCATTTGGACATGTCTTGGCTAAATGTCCTAACTGTTGACATTTGTAACATTGGGTCATTTGTAAAGGCATTTGAGCATTCCACTTGGGATCTCTTCTTATCGATTTCTCGTCTGTACGTTTAATAGCATCAACTGCAATAGCTGGATCCTTCACTCGAGCATTTGTATTATTTGTGAACTTATGAGGTTGTTGAAATTGAGTTTTCATGTGCATCCTGACCTCAGTTTCTTGCTCATCTATTTTGCATGCTATACACTGTAGTTCTGCAATACTGTGCACATCATGAGTAGCAATAGTAACAGTGTGTTGTTTATTTTTTATTCCATCCATCAAATAATCAATTTTGTCAGCTTCAGTAACATTTACAGGACAGTATGCAACAAACATAGTTTAGCATAGAAATAATCTGTGAGACTCTCATATTGTCTTTGTTCTTTCTTTCACTCTGTCACACCACATTCTCAATGCTTTTTACCAAATTTGCTTTTTAAGCTTGTCTTCCATTCAGTTCAATTGTTAAGCTGGTAACCAATTGCTTTATGCCAGTTTTTTTCTGCTCCTCTCAGTTTGCTGATGGCTAGTGGGAGAACTTGGGTCTCAGCTAGTTTCTGTTTATTTTGAGTCAATTCAATATAATTCAACCATTCGTCAGCAGTCCTGTAGTAGTACCACTAAATTCTGGAAGAAAACTTGTCAAATCAGGTATAATTTGGACTTCAATAACTGTTTCCTTTGAGTTTCACACTGCCTGTTGTTGGTTATCTGTTAATAATAATACTTTTTCCGTTAGCGTTTGCATCACACTCATAGGGCATAGGACTTGGATTTACAGCTTGATCTTCAGAAGGAGATTCATTAACGACTTGTTCCTCTTTTGCCTGGCTAGTTTCATTAACACTCTCCCTTTCACTTAACATTGTGCTAGTTAATCATTCTATTAGTTTGGATTTTTTACCAACTCATGATAATTGCCCTTTCTCCAATTCCTCTTTCAAATATTCAATGGTCCTTCCTTCTAAATCATGTTTAAGTTCTTCAACTGTATACATATTAGCTTCTAACTGAATCACGATTGTCAACTTAAATTCTTTAGTTTTTCTAGTATCAGCACTAGGCCAGATGGCTGACCGGTCAAGGTGGCAGCCTACTGCTCTGGGGGACCCGGACTCAAATCCAAATGGGTCGAAAAATCCCCAGGAATTTTTCGGGGGTAGTTTGTTCGGATATGTCGGGCCCCGTCCCTCACCACCTGGCAACCCCATTGTGGGCCTGGCCGAACCCATAATGGGCTTGCAAAAAGAGGCCTTCTTAGTGCCCACAGGGCAGAAAGAGTTAAAAAAAAAAAAGTATCAGCACTAAATCTTTAAGCTATTGCTTCTTAGAGTTAGATATTAAGCTTTACTATAATTTTGATTCAGTTACGATCAAAATTTTACACTTTTAACTTTAATCTTAAACTTCAAGACTTCATATTTTCATCCATGCACCTTATTCGTTTTGGCTTGTTTCTTGTAGATGTGGTTGATAGCGGCACATCAGCTAATCCTGTCAACTGCACCAATTATTGTATGACTCGTACTTATGGAGTGTACTATTATTTCAAATAAGATAAAGGCAATGGTAAAAAGTCACTGAACAAAATTAAATTATAACAATTAATTACAACAATTAGGCATCCATCTTTCTTCTTCATCTTGAAAACAACTAGTACCCTCTGCTTTTTTTCTTTCTCTTCCCTCCTTGCAGGATTTTTCTCTAAAAACTTAGTTTCAAACAAAAGTTGTTTTTATGAGGGATTGTCTTTTAGAGTACTGGTTCTTAACCTTTTTATACTCGTGGGCCACCAAATATTTTATAATTTTTTTGTGACTCCCATTTTTTTAAATAATAATTTATATTTGTTAAATTGTCTATAATAAATTGATATTTTTATTATTGCTTTATTTTTAAAATTCCAAGCATTAATAGTTTCTTAGAATTACTTTGGAATAAAAGAAGTAAATACTGCAGTGTAAGTAGCATATTTGCATTTATTTCTTCTGTACTAACAAAGTTGTAAGTAGGAAGAAATAAGAAATAAATAAAAAAAACTAAATACGAAAACTTTATCTTTCTTATTTC